TCGTGGCCGAGCTACCTGACGCCCACGGCCCTCAAGCTATCGTGGTGCTGACGGAAACGGGCCGGTCCTGTGGCTTAACCGTGGGGGGTTGGAGGGTTTCCCTCCGGTGCCATATCGGCCCTGCTCACGCCCCTCGCGCATGTCGCGCGTTGGGCTCCCTCGCACATGGCCACAGCTCACCTGTTAATATCTAGGTTGCACGCAGGTGCTCGGCACCTCGCTACCCCCGTGTAACCGACTGTCTACAAAAAATGTGGGGCTGCACTATGTCACGCCATGTCGCTGTCCGTGGGGGCGGTAAGGCGGAACTCCATTCGCGGGCGCTGGCCGCCCGCCGTGTGTATGACGTGAGCCACGACACCGCCTGCACAACACGCCGTCTCGAAGTCGACCACTAATAACTGCCTGCGCTGCGCCGCAGCAGGGAACCAGCTCCACTGCACGCCTTGCATGTCGGTGATGTCCGTCGTCGCGCGCAGCCAGTCGGCGCGCACGAGGCGCCGCACGGCCGCAGTGAAGTCCCGGCCCACGTCGGTGGGGCCGAACTGCGAGCATGTGGCGAGCCTGCGTGTGCGCAGCCCCCACACCACCGAGAGCATGGCGGTGCAAAGGCTGCGCCAAAGGCCCGCGCCGGTCGCCGCGCGCCCGCTTCCCCGCACCCTCGGATGAGGAGCGGTACACGGCTGCGGGGGCCGCGGAGCGCTGGCGGACCCTGGGCCGCGCTCGCTAGGGCTGCAGGGCCCGCGTCGATAGGTTCATCACATGTCAATCGCGTGGCTGAGCCTGTCTCGTTTGCGCATGCCTCGTAGCCTTCCGGGCACGCCGTTCCTGGCGGGCTTGGTGTTGTCGTGCATGGGTTGCCCTCCTCGGTTCGGCCTGCTGTCGAGGCAGAGGGGGTGTCGCCGCTGCCGTGCTCGTGTCCCTGCAATCACCGTGGTCAATGCTCGCTCTCACTTGGCATCGCGCGGTGTTTAGCGCCCAGTGTACGGGCCCCCGGCGAGGCCGGCTTGGGCAGCCGCATCTGGGCGGGTGTCATCAATCTGTCATGTAACTTCACGTGTATAATAAAAGGCCCGCGTGGGCCCGTTACGGCCGCCACGCACCCGGGTCCCCCAACAGCGGTTTT